TTTTTGTTGCTCTATGTGGACGACATGCTTTTAGTTGGATCATCTCCTAAGTGGATAAACAATATAAAAGCAGATCTTAGTGGAGAATTTGACATGAAAGATCTAGGAAAGGCTAAAAGGATCTAGGCATGGAAATAGAACGAAATAGGTCAAATTCCATCGTATTCTTACATCAGTCCCCATACATATCAAAAGTGTTGAAAAATTTTAATATGAGTAACTGCAAACCTGTCACGTTGCCTCTTGCAAATCATTTTGTTCTATCTAAGGAACAAGCTTCCTGCAATGAACGTGAAGTGGAATACATGAGTAAAATTTAATACTCAAATGTGATTGGTTCGATAATGTATTTGATGGTTTGCACTAGACCGGACTTAGGATTCGCTATTAGTACTCTTAGTATGTACATGTCTAATCCAGGTCCTGAACATTGGGAAGCATTAAAGTGGCTTTTAAGATATTTGAAGGGTACAAGTGACGTGAGTCTAAAATTTAGTGCTAATAAAGAAGGCGTGAAATAAAGGATTTTGTAGATGCTGACTATGCAGGAGATAGGGATGGTAGGAAATCAACTTCCTCTTACGTATTCACCTTATCAAATTCGTGTGTTAGTTGGAAATCACAGTTACAACACATAATTGCACTATCCACTACAGAGTCAGAATATATTGCCACCACTGAAGCAATTAAAGAGGCTCTATGGCTTAAAGGTCTACTTCATGAACTGAGTGTCTTGAATGAGTACGTGGTTGTGTATTCTGATAGTCAATCATCCATACATTTGTGTAAGAATCCTGTCTTTCACGAACGCACTAAACATATCGATGTTAGGTTACACTTCATTAGGGATATAATATCACAAGAAGTAGTAAGACTTGAAAAAATTCACACACAGTACAATCCTTCAGATATGGGCACGAAAGTGCTGCCACTGGTAAAGTTTAGAAGTTGCAAAGAGCTTCTAAACATCGGCACAGGTAAATGATTTCAATTTTATCGGTTTTTCTGTTAGAGGTGTCACTAATGGAAAAACGTTTTTCTTTGCAGGTCCTTTGACACCAAGGTGGAGGTTGTTAGACATTATGTTGTCAAACGACCTCCCGGGCGATGATAAGAACCAATTTTATCAGTCGACATGAATGACTGAACGATAATTCAACATCGAATAATGGATGAACTGACCAAACGTTGCTTTACCTATTGGACGGCTAATACTCTTTGTGGCTTGTTGATTCTTTCCATTGGAAGTTAACCCTAGTCGAGCCTACTTACCATATCCCAACTTACCTTATGTTGGCCACTTGACTTACTATATATATTGGTGTTTTCATCCTTGTTAACCCCGTCCAAAAATTGAAGCCGTGAGAAAAGAGAAACTGCCGTGTCCAGCCGAGTTCTTCTGCCTTCATCTTCTTCGTGATTTCTTCTCCACCCCAATTGCTTGAGACTTTGTGAACCTTACCTGAGTGGTATCCATCCTAAGTGTGTGGATTAAATCAACAAAGCAAAGGACGAAAGCAACCAAGTGGGAAGAGGCGCCGGCGATCATTGGTGACTCCAATTGATGTTGAATTCGGTTTTAATGGTTAACTGAGCCCGGAAATCACCGTGAGCAGCTAGAGGAAGGTCCTAACATCTCGAATAATCGAAATATATAAAGCCCAAACATGCATGCACCATTCTTTTGTTGATTGGAGAAGGATAAGCATTTAGCCTTCTTGGCAATGACTAACATTATAATTTATAAATATATCCTACTAAGAAAATGGACAACTATTCTTCTGGGTTGGAGTCTCCTGGCCTCATCTTCCGAAGGTGAAAGGTAAGCTGCCAAAATTATCATTACCATATAGTCAAAATATTCGAAATGTTTTTTTTTTTTTTTTTTTTTTGGGCGTAAATTTGAAGTCAAATACACGAGTTTAACGAACGTACGTACCCCAGCCTGAGGGAAGTATCAGAACCATGAGAAATATTGGTGATGCACTCAGATGAATTGCTTTGCTCAGTACCATTTCCAGTGACTTCAAATTTCTGCACAAACAGTTCACTCAACAACTGAATGCTAATGGATGCAGTGAAATGTTTTTAATGATTATGTAAATATCAGGAAACTCTTACTTCGGCTAGCTGTTTCAACTTAGCATTTTCTTCCATTAATTCAGATTCCTGAATATCAGAAGAGTTAGTTAATTAAACTAGCACATGGTAAGTTTGTATTCGGAATGAAACATTCCATTATTTATCAATCATATCATCAAAAAGTTAATGATTATAGGAGAGGGACAAATTTATTTATTTAAATTTATTCTTTAATATCCCTTCAAGTGCATTAAGATTTAGGATTCCATTTTAAAAAAGTCATTCTCGTCAAAAGAGTTGTCCTCGCTCTGAATGTGGGATTTATTCTTAAAGATGAAGTTTGAGGACTTGCCTTTTTCCTGAGCAAACTAATCTCTTTCAAGAACTTGTCATTCTTGCCCATTGAAAAAGAGAGGTGTTAGCACAGAAAATCTCAATAGAGAGACTAGAAAATACGAAATTGTATGTAATAATACCTTTGCTTCAACGACATGGTTTAGTCCTCCCATTACCGTCTTCTCTAGTCTGATCAACTCATCCATGTCAAGTTCATGGAGATCTTCTCCCTTGAGTTGCCTATTACAATTAGTGTTTGTATCTCAACTGTGCAATGCACTCGAATAAGCATAACCAGAAATCTTAAGCTTAGACACATATTTTACCTCAACTCACGAGTCTTGTCCATGAGTACCTTGCTGAGCATTCCATAGCCATTATTTTCCTGCAAAAATTGTAATAGGATTATACCAATGTTAGAGTAGCACAAACGAAATACATTAGCCGAGGCATATAACAATTTTCACTTGTAAAAATATCATTTTTTGACATTACATGTGGTGATATACCAAAAGAGCTTCAACGAGTTTATTTTGTAAATTCCATCACAAAATAAGAAAAAAATTATTAATAGCACTGCAAGTTAAAAATAGAATGTGACAATTAATATTTGAATTCAGAGAATTCTTATTTATTTGAGAGGGGATTAATTTGTCAACATAAACTAGTCGCAAATGCGTTCTTGATTAATCTATTTAACTTATAATATTTTTACCTTTACGATATGATTAAGACTTAGCTGCAAAATTGACAACATTATCCAGATATGGAATAGGATGGTTCTTGAGATCGATTTAGGGTGTGTTTGTCACTCATTATTTGGGAAGAATGTATTATGGAATAGTGATTAATGTTGAAATGTGTGGTTAAAAGAGAAGGAAAAGTTCTTTATTTACATATAATATTATTTTAATAAAGAATGTGTAGTTGAAAATGAGTACTGTAGAAAAAAGAATAGGAAAGAATGGATGACAAACAGGGGCTTAATTAGCCTCGTTGAGGGAAAAAAAACAATAAAACTTAAGACAAACCAACTTTAATGAGCTAAAAACACTCTTGTTTGCAATATTTAGGTTTTGTTTGGTATTACTAAATTCAACTTTAATTATGGAAGAAGAGTCAGTTAAGTATTTGACAAGCTTATTGAACAATTAGAGGTTTATTAAATTTGAAATGAGACTTTAAACTCATATGGTAAAGTTTAAAATTGATTACATTAGTTTGATGCTAAAATTCTTTTTTATCTTTATCTTCTTATCATAATTTCAGTATACAAAGACATACAACAAACTTAATGCAGAATTCTATAAAAATGGTTTTGATCTCACCAGAAGTTGGAAAGATGGTTGTCCTAATTTGTCTGAGTTTTCTGCTTGCCCTCTATGCCTTTCAATTAGTTGCATCATGCTGCAGAAGAGAACAAGTGGAAACAAAAAAATTTCAACTATGTAAACTAGAGGGAGACAAAATCAAATTCTATTAAGGTTCATACATAGAGTTCATGTTGGGCGCATACAATACGGATGTGATAATGGTACACCATACCAACAAACTAAGAAAGTTCATCACAAATGCATGCAATTTCATTTATTTTGGAAATTTAAAGTTTTCAATTTTTCCGAATTGCAGGGACCTTATTTATGTGTGTACAAGAATGAAAAACTTGTTCATGCCACTTTCGCATGTCCGAATATATAAAATTTAACGAGTTAAGCTATTAGACATCATAATTTGACAAGTACGAAGGAAGCATTCACAAATTTCATTATCGGGGCAGTTGAAAATTACAAATTTGGTACTATTTTATATATACCACACTCTTTAAAAGCTTAAAATATACCAAAGAGGTGATGTGCATATTATTTTCGTTGGTTAAAATATGCCAAAGAGGTGATGTGCATATTATTTTCATTTTAATTTAGTCTTTAGTAGCTAGTTTTGTGTATTGAACTGCGTTATTCCTAAGACAATTGAATAAGAAAACTACTGATTTCTCACATATTTTCCAATCTTTATTGTGCTTAGTCTAAGGTATAAAGCATGAAACTTAAGACACAAAAACACAGAAATCAAGCCATTTCTCAGTGAGAGGGCAATTTCACACTCATGACTTGTACTCTCCACAGTCCCACCTTGACTCTCAAATGAACATATTTTTTAATTTTGACATCGTCCTTGTGTTCTCATTTTCCTACATGATCATTGATCCTTCAGTTCTACAGCCTCCCCCGGCCCCACCACCTTCACTGGTTAGCTAATTCACAAACACACAGGAGAAAAGCATGAGATATATCAGTGTACCCTTCGCCCCTAGTTTTGCTCGAATCTTCGTTCCATATTCGAGCAACAAATTTATTTCCATTTCTGCCCATTTAATTCGTACCTGCTCAAAAGGACAGTCTCTATAGTCATTTTTGCTGTGGTTTTGCCCCATTAGAATCGTTAGTTTTCAATACAAAACTAGCTAATTGATTTAAAATTCAGTAGCATGTTGTGTGTCTGTTGAAGAAAGAGAGGAGAGGAAATTAGAGAACCTTGAGCTAGAATAATGGAAGAGTTTTCCAGTGGCAGAAAAAACAATTAGGGCTATCTCAGCATCACAAAGAGTAGAGAGTTCTTGAGCCTTCTTGAAAACCCCTCTTCTTCTCTTTGAAAAGGTCACCTGGCGTGCCGTCAAGTTATCGATCTTCTTGATCTGAATCTTCTGTCTCACCATTTTCACAGCACACTCACTACAAACAAGAATTATACGTATATTTCGTTAGTATCTCATAATACATACACAGATCAAGGGACGAGAAAGAAGATTGGTCTTTGATAAAAATAAGGAAAAAAAAGAAGTAAAGCATATCTTCAAGTACAATAGAGGATCTGAAACCACAACCCTCCTTAACAAAAAATAAAAAATGGAAATTACGGGAGAAAGAGAGAGGGGGGAGAGAGAGAAAAAAGGATCAATCTATATTTACGTATATAAAATTAGAAAAGAAGGAGGGAGACAAAAGAATCATTCAGTTTTTTTGCATAAAATAGAAATCTTAAACAGTATAACATTTACTAATTCAGGGAAGAGATGACATCCACCACCTGCAGAAGGGAAACCCTAGTGAGAGTAAGTGGCAAACATCTGAAATTAGAAACCAAACTGAAGTAGCATAGGAAAGAACGATAAAGGTGCTTTGCAAATTGTGCAAATTGCCAAAGGGTAGAGAGAGAGAGGTTTCTTGAAATTACCTGTATGAGACGTAGGTTTTGTTAAACCTAAAAACTTGCCACACCACAGGATATGTACAATTCTACCAATAAATAATGTGTGCCTGTACAAAGAGAAAGATCGATATTGTGAATACGTCTCTCTCTCTCTCTCTCTCTCTCTCACACACACACACACACAGAGATATATATATTTGAAAAATATTGATATAAAATTCTAACAAAATGTTTCTAAATGTTAGCGACTTTTTGAAAATAAAAATCATATTTTTAATAAGTTTTGATAAATTTAATAAATGTGTTGTTGAAAATTGTTAAAAAAAACGTGAATTCTATAAAATAAGTTATTAAAAATAAATTTTAAAAAAATATAGCCAAACAAGGACGTAACACGAAGTTATGTGCGTATAATATACCACATAGTTCCTATGTGGTACAAATTAAAATTAAATTTTTAATCTAAATCAAAGTCAATAATTAATTTAGTCGCATATTTCATATGATCGATTATTTTTCAATCACATATTTTATCAACTTTATTAAAAGTTTTCTAAAAATTTAACTTTGATCCCATCAAATGGGGCATAAACAATTTCTTCAATATATTGTGGGGAAAGTGTTGTCCGTACAAAAGGTCCCTGCCTCGTCGCTGTCAGAAATTATGATGTGGTTGTACCTTTGTGGGCATCACGCTCCCCACTCTAAAATTCTCTCTGGCATGACACCCCTGGCTGTAATATGAAGCAGGAAAATGAAATCCTATTTATTTTCTTTCATTTTTTCATTTATTATTATTACTAGGTTAGTACAGGTAGGGGGCTGTGGGGGATGAAGGGGTAGGGGTATCAATTTAACTCTCCGGCTCGGGTTGTCCGTGGCTTGGCCTGAAAAAGTCCGAGCCAATCCGAGGCTACGATCGAGCCCATTTTGGGATGTCAGCTCGTGTCACCGGCCATTTTCGACCCGTGATAAGTCGACCCTTGAATTTAAAAAAATAAAAGGCCGACAGCTGCTGCCTTTTAAGGCATATTATTAAAAAAAGGAAAACGAAAAAAATCCAACTGGATTGGCTCGGCTCGGCTCAGTTCGAGTTCGAAAAAAGCTCACACTATTTTACTTGAATCCAACTCGAGCCTCGAATTTTAGTTCACGAGCAGATTCGTCTCGATTCGTTGACATTCATGGGGGATGTGGGGTTTTCACATCATTTTCAAGGATAAGGTAATATAAGGTTGGCCTCACTTATTTTAGACTAGCACCGAAACAGAAGTGGGAAAAGCTGAAGTTGGGGGCACGAGCATAAAGTTGTTAGGAGAATTTCATGAAAATCGCAGGGTGCACCAATTTTCAAGTCCTCTTTACAGTTCCATAAAGATGAAATAATAAAATGGATTAACAATTGTAAAAGAAAGTGAGGATATATAACTACATAAGTAACGTGGCTTTCAAAGGGATTAAAAACGAAAATGATATTTGGTTAAAAATCCCAATCAAACAAAACAAAAATGTTAAAAGGCCTCCACTTATTGATAAGGATTTAAACGCTTATAGTCTATTTTATTACGAGTAATTATATTCACACACACAGAGAAAACGAAAAAGAATTAGTATCTATATATATTTTAATTGCAATGAAGGTCCCCAATATTTGCTAACTTTGCATCTATTTCCTCCATGTTTTTGTGGCATTTTAAATCATTAATATTCAAATAATTAGTGCATCCCATATCTCGTGATAATTTATGTTCATTCTGCTAACATGCAATGAAATGAGGAGCGATTATTTTGTAAAACTTTTATATTCGTTTTTTATTTCGATTATTAAAATATACAAGAGGCATATAAGTAATTTTACACTCTCGTAACACATTTTAGGATGGAAAACTATGCAAATTAATAGAATGTTAATTATAAGGATCAGAATAATATTATTCATAGTCAACTACTACTGTAGTCATCTTGTGTAACATGTATTAATTATCATTTTAATTAGGTCAAGGCGTTGGATAGGTCTATCGAGTACTTCAATGCTTGGAACCACCCATTATACTTCGAATATTTCATAAAAAATGGAATCATTCCGATCCTTATAATTATTAGATCAAATCCAAACTCGAATCGTCAGCGTCGATTTACAATCGATTCTACTCATAACATTTTTTAAATATATATTTAATAGATATTTCTGTATAAGCCATTTGAATACATATACTTAACACGTTACTATTGGGAAATATTTGTGCAAGGGAAAAAATTAGTTAAGGAATCTTCAAGAAGCTAAAAAATCTAACCGCATGACTCAAAATAGTGGAAACTAAAAATCAAGAATAAAAGATGAACAAATTTAAACATCAAAAACTAAATTACAATTTGAAAAGAAATGATTTTTTCTTAATATATCTTATTTGATTCATAAATAAAGGAGTGATAGAGCCCATAATTTAATTATGGACAATACTTGAATCTTCAACTTCGAAAATGTACTGATATAAGAAATAAGACTAATCAGATACAGGACTATGTAGTATTAAGAAATTGCAGTTCACGTATTGAACTCTCTATATTTGAGTAAAAAGAAAAAAAAATTATATTTCAAAAAGAATCACGAACTTGAGATAACCAAAAAGGTATACTAAAGCCAAGTATGGATGAGTTATAAAAAAATTGAAAAAAAGAAGAAGAAAGAAACACTTAAGTTTATAAAATAATGCAAGAAAAATAAAAAACTCGAATTGCAAATAATGAACGATTTAATTCATCAACTTATATCACAACCCTAGCTTGAATTTTTTAATTCCTAGAAACTCGAATTACAAAGATTAACATGTTCTGATCTCCGAATGCAACAATCTGATATAAGCGTGAGAGACAGAAAGTATGAGTAAATCATGATTTCTTACGGTTAGAGTCTAGAGTTTAAGACAAATTATTACCTAAATTAGAGTTTTGGGGTTTTGTATTCTTTGTACCCAACATATAAATTGTAAGAAAAAAAAGGGGGTTCCATTCAGGCATACATGATTCCCCGTGATTCTGGTTCAGAAATCAAGAATCGACCTGGAACCAATTGGTTATCAATTCCAATTTCTAGTTTTTTTTTTTTGTTTTTTGAAATTGGACCGGAACCTTTGATTTCCTATTCGATTTCGGTTCGAGAAATTCGATTACGATTAAAATGCCCAGGTCTACTTTTATTGATAACTCAAAGAAAAGGAAATAAGTCAAATGGGCCTCTTGATTTATGGCACATTAGGATGTCACCTAGTATGTTAAAAATTATAATTCGAAATGTCCAAAATGCTTCCACTTAATTCTAACATTAGAGCCGTAAACCCCCAATTTCATTCCCTAGTTTCCATTATGCATCGTTCAAAATGCATTATGAGCCCCAATTTCTTCATTTTCTTCTTCTTTCTTTGCATTATTTCTCGAGTTTGATTCCATCAAGCACATGAAACTTACATCAACTAGATGTGATACTATGAAAATTCAAACTTGAAATAAAGAATTCAAAAAAATTGGCTCCACCTTCATTGACTTCAACATTATGAAACGATTATGTTCCCTATTTTTATCCTTGATTTGGATTGTTCAAATGACGAAAATGCCCTGAACATCAATTTAAGATATTGGATTCAACTTTTTTGAACAAAACTGTCATTTATGTAATTATATTTTCTTTACTTTTCGTTTTTTTTTTCATTTTTTTCTTTATCCCGAAAACTATCGATTTTATTTGCTGAAAATCAATTTGGTGAGTGATGCTACCAAAAAAAATATTACCTGAAAGATCTCGAACTTGATGATCGAACTTCACTTTGATAAACACGAATGGTTGTGTATTTATAAGTGTTAGCGGTGGAGTCCTAGAAGGACTTATTCTGTCACGATCCTTATCCTCGTAGGAAAAGGAGTTAGTGTTTTACCTCAAGTATTCAAATCACTGTTTGAGTCAAAGAAGGAGTCTAATAGGGTAGGGATTGTGGTCAAAGTAGGATTAGTGTTCCCGTAGGTCGTATAGGAAAGCTGACGAGTCGACATACATACCTCGACCTCAAATGCCCGACCTTGTTTTGGTGTTTTTAGAGGGTATTGAGATCGGGTTTATGGTGTGATCGGGGTTCATGGGTCGAGTTCGGGATTGACAAGATCTGAGATCATCACTGGCCCCCGTGTATCGAGGTCGTAGATTTTCGTCCAAGCCCAGTCTACGAGCGAAGATGCATAAGCATGAACATCCAAGTGTTTTTCCACGTGTCAAGTGTTTGATGGGATGTCAGAGAGCGATCTGAGATGGCCGCCACGTGTAATGTTAGGGCACGACCTTAGATTCTCGCCACGTGTCTTGGTCCAAGGGTTGAGATTGCATGACCGTTGGTATTCCTCAGTCCCCTATAAATACCCCAACTTTCACCCTCATTTTTCACTTTTAACTCTCATCTCCCAGTAAATCGAGCTCGAGTTCGAAGATTAGTAGGGTCTGTGAGCAACAGAGGTAAGAGTTCGAGCCCTTAAGTTGTTTTATTTGATTATAGTGTAATGTCGAGTAGTGATAGTACCGGGTCAAGTAGTCGTGATAGTAGCAAGGCTCCTAGAGACTCGAACCATAGTGATAGGCCTGAAGATGTAAATACATCCATTATTCCTATGGCCATCCCTATTAACCCCCATATCGACATCCTGACATACCCCAAGGAGCCGACCAAGTACAAAGAACATGTAATTATTAAAATAGCTAGAGAGTTCGGGGTCACGCCGATTTGTGACATTAGAACCCCAGGGCCAACTGAGACCGTGTTAGGAGCTCGGGAGGGAGAGATGACCTTTTTTAGGGACACTCTTAAGGCCGGGCTTAGGTGGACTCTTCACCCATTTTTCATCCATTTTCTGATCTCATACTACATGTGTCCAGGTCAACTAGCCCCGAACGGTTGGAGGTTATTAGTGTATTTCTTCATACTATGTAGGTGCCTCGAGGTTGAACCTAGGGTCGACCTACTTTGAATGGTCTTTGATATGAAATTCTCCCCGGGGTATAACTGTTTTGTTTATTTATCCACCGAGGGGGGGTATAACTGTTTTGTTTATTTGAGGGTTGGAAGAAACGTTTCTTTTTTGTGAAGCCTCAAGACCCCGACCGTCCCTTTAGCCCGCGGTGGAAAATCCTCGATAAGAATAGGTTTAACGAAGGTCAGGCCTATTTTGAGGTTCTACAGAGAGATAGGCTGAGGTTAGTGAACCACGACCCCCTTGCAGACAAGATCGATTACTTGCTTGAAGACGACACCCTTGACCTTGCTAACGTGAAAGGCCTCGAGGGTACGATCTTTCTTTTTATGTAATCTTTGCTATTTCATGTGTAAACACCGATCTGTAGTTCGAGCTAATGCCTTGCTGTATTTCTGCTTGTAGAATTCGAGATGTCTTTCGATCCGTCAGCCCTCTTGGACAACGTTCATAAAAAAGCGAAGGGCCCGAAGTCTAAAGCCCCGATGATGACCTCGTCCAAAGGAAAAAAGTGGGCACGAGAGGCCACCCGTCCAACCATGGTGGACCTGGGGCAGAGCTTAGGGCTGGACAAAACTCCCGAATCGAACCCGATGGTTCTTCTCAAGTTAAATATCTGAACGGGTATTTGAATCAAGAACTGACGGGTATGATTCGATTCTCAGTTCTAGGCTAAGACCCGAAGAATCGAATCTCCGTAATTTTTTTAAATTTATTTATTTTAAATAAGTAAAATTATTTTATTTTTTCTAAATAAATTTGTTAACTAGTTAATTTAGTTCAAATCACAAAATATGATTTTTCCATTTCTAATTTTCAGTTCAAAATCAACTTAATCAAATTGACCTCAATTTTATCAAAATCTATTATTCTGCTATAGTGTCGTTTCTACCGGAGAAAATCGAATTAAAGTTCTATAACATCTCTCTTAATTATTTTGATTTTGCTATCTTTCTATTTTTGTGTTTTAATAATCAAATTTATGAAGAATTTAGCAAAGAGAGACGTGAAACACATAAAATTGAACTACGTTATTTTGTAAGAGCTAATATTGAACATATCATTAATTAAATTAATGTAACTTTGTATTTATTAAAAAATTTAATTATAATACGAAATCGAATGGAACCGAACCGGACCGGACCTAACCGAACCGAATGGAACTGAACCCGAACGGTTCCGTAATTAAATTTGGACCCGATGGTTCCATTTACTAAATACCCGAAAATTTCGGGTCGGTTCAGTTCGGTTCTAGAACCGAACCGAACCGAATTGGATCATGTCCAGCCCTAGCAAAGCTCACAAAACCCGAGCTCTCCAAGGCAGCCAACCCCCCAACACAAGAACCGAACCGAACCAGACCATGTCCACCCCTAGCAGAGCTCACAAAACCCGACCCCTCCAAGGTAGCCAACCCCCCAACAACAAGCTTGAGTTCGTACCCTTTGTTATGGGTCGGACCTTTTAGCTGATGATGACGACCATATGCCCACCAAGTCGCTCGAGGAGTACGCCGACTGTGCTCTCATCCAGGGCATAGTTGATAAGTATGAGAAGGAGGTCGAGATGAATGAAGGGGTTCGGACTCTCGAGCTTCTTACATTGAAGGTCAGTTTTTAATATGAATGCTTCTGGTACCCTTGATTGGTTTCTTAATCTGTATTAACATCCGGCACCATACTTGTTTTTGCAGACACTAAGCGTAGCTCGGGGTCTGGGGCTCAAGGGCTTGAATTCCTCAGATCACATAGTCGAGCTCGAGGTTAAGAGCGAGGTTACGTTTAAGAGGGCCCAGGAGCTTGAAAGGGCCCTTGAGGCGGCCAAGGCGGACCTTAAGAAGGCTGAGGACGAGGTCGGGCTGGCAAGGGACGAAGCTGAGGAGGCGAAGCTTGAGCTCATTCAGTCCCGAAGCTTTTTTTAGGCGGAGCTTGCGAATGTTCAAGCAGAAGCCCGAGCTCAGGCCGTTGATGACTTTAAGAAGTCTGATGAGTTCAAGACTCTCCTGGGTCAGTACGGGTCTGGCTCGTATTACTATGGGTTGTGGCTAACTCGTTCATTCCTTAGGACCAAGCTCCCCGAGGATTTGAAGCCCGTAGTGGAGGAGTTAAAGACTGTGAACGAGCTCGCCAAGGACCTCGAGCTATCCTCCTCTGAGGGTGATGACGATGACGACGATGCTGGGACCCCTGACAATGGAGGGAGAGCGACCCCATCCACCTAGATTAGGCCCTTCCCCGACCCTGAGACTGATATTTTTGTAACTTTTTCTTTTTGCTCATGTTATCTGCCCGATCTGGGTTTATGAACTTATTTTGATTTTGATTAAATGAAAAGTTTATTGCCTGAATTGGGCTTCTGTCTTTGAGAGGGAATTTTATCAGTTCATGCATTTTATTATTCCTACGAGATCGAGCATTGATCCCGTGTTCGCATATTGTAATTTTGAATTCGAGCTTTTATTACAGTTTAGAGTTCGGTTGTTAGTATAGGTCACATGTCGCAATCATTTAACTCATAGCTCGAGTATGTGTAATAGTTCGCGTGTAATTTTTATCGTTGAACTATGGATACATCGATCCTTTAAACAATACTGATATTGGGGCGTCAATTTCTAAGTTCAATGATGTATTATTGGGGACAACTAGTTCGTGCACTAGTGTTTGGTATTGATTTGATTCTTTGCTTACATCGAGGGGGGACCAATTGGTCGCTGATGAATTAACGAAAACGTCGGTCATGGTTATATGAGGGGCAATTATATCGTGCCCCGATCTCGATCTCAGAATTCATGCTTGGTTGAGCATTTTGGGATCGATAAGGTCGGGGATGGTTATACGTGGGCAATTATATCATGACCTGACCTCGATCTCACGATTATTTCATTGCTCGTCATTTCGGGATATGCCCGACCTGTTACTGCTTGAGGTCATGTGTGGAATTTATCGGGTATTAGCTGCATGCGCGGGGCATGACCTTATGCTAATTTTGTAAAGGTATTAGCTGCATGCGCGGGGCATGGCCTTACGCTAATTTAATAGGGAATCAACATCATAAAGAAAATTCTATGTGCTATTAAAAATGCTCAAGGGTGTTTGATACCCGAACTTATTCGAGCATGAGCTAACAGGGCATTAGAGCCCGAAAAGTAAAAAACGAAATTAAGGAAACATGAAGTGGGCATGCAAACCCTAACGGAAATTTATAGCTATAGCTAGTCACTTGTAATATATTTTCAGATTATTGGCGTTCTATGGCCTTGGGAGTGGTCTCCCCGATGTGTCTCTGAGGCTATAGGCTCCACCTTTAAGTTTTCTTATGACCTCGTAAGGTCCCTCCCATGTCGGCCCGAGTTTCCCTGGTTGGTGTCCGACGGCTTCTGCTTTTCTAAGGACAAGATCGCCAGCTCTGAACCTCTTGGTCTGGACCTTGTTGTTAAAGTGCTTTGCCGTTCTGTTTTGATAACTCACAGCCCTAAGTGAGGCTTGCTCCCTTATCTTTTCAAGCAAGTTAAGGTGCTCGGTAGTTTGCATCTCCCTAGTTGTCTCGAGCTTTCTTATTGTGGGGAGGCTAACCTCAATTGGGATGGTCGCCTTAAAGTCCAAAAGCAAGCATGAATGGCGTTTCACCAGTTGCTGTCTTGAGCGATGTCCTATATGCCCATAGTATCGAAGGCAGTACGTCAGGCCAGTCACCTTTGGCATCCCCTATCCTTGTTCGGAGGTCCTGCAATATGATCCGATTAGTTACTTCGGCTAACCCGATACTTTGTGGGTGTGAGACCAAGGTTAAGCGATGATCAATCCCCTTACTGGCGCAGAAGTTCTTGAACTGGGGATTGTTGAATTGCCTTCCATTATCTGTGATGAGGACTTTTGGTATCCCGAACCTGCATATGACAGACTTCTATATGAACGACCTGAGCTTCGGCTCTGAAATTGTTGCTAGAGGTTTGGCTTCTACCCACTTTGTAAAATACTCCACTGCCACAGTTACAATTTTTAATTGTCCTCGGGCCAAGGGGAAAGGTCCAAGAATATCAACTCCCCATTGCTCGAAGGGAGCTCAGTAGTGAATGGATGTTAGTTCCTCAGCAGGAGCACTTCCGGACATAATCCGTGGCATCTTTCTTCAAACATGTCCAGTAGTATCCATACCTTATCAACTTATATGCAAGAGCTCGAGCTTCCTGGTGATTTCCACAAATGCCTTCGTGAACTTCAGTCATTGCTTGAAGAGACTCGGAAGGTTTGAGACATCTTAGATAGGGGAGTGTGAAACTCCTGCGGAACAGGACTCCTTTGATTATACAATATCTAACAGCTCTATACCGAATGCTTCTGGCAAGCCGATGGTATGCAAGATGTCTATGACACTTGGCTTCTGAGCTATACTTGGTTCTCTAACCATCTTGATGTGCACTGTTCTATCGAGCCCGTCCACACCCATGAAGACGAGTCTAGATAATGCATCAGCCTTGGCATTTTCAGCTCTGGCTACCTTCAGAATTCCAAAACTTACGAACTGCCTCTAGAGGTCATGTACTTTCAAACAATATAAGCCCATTTTTTCATCCTTTCTTTCGAAAGACCCATCGATTTGTCCAACCACTAGCTGTGAGTCACTGAAAACTTTAACGCACTCGCACTCAAGATTTTTTGTGAGTTCCAGGGCTATAACAATGGCTTCGTACTGTACTTCGTTATTGGTAGCTTCGAATTCAAATCTGAGAGCGCATTGTATCTCCGTAGTCTTTTCCGGACTTGTGATGATAATGTCGGCCCCCGAGCCCGAACTATTGGATGCTCCATCAACAAAAATCTCCCATATTTCTAAGGTCGAGTTCGAGCCCTTGGCCGGTGTTTCTAATGATCTCGGAGTAAGCTCTGCTATGAAGTCAGCTAAAGCTTGGGCCTTGATTGCAGGTCGTGGCATGAACTCTATGTCAAATTCGTCGAGTTCAATTGCCCATTTCAGCAATCTCCCTAAGACATCTGGCTTCTGAAGTATATGTTTGAAAGGTTTGTTGGTGAGCACAACAATTGGACGTGACTGGAAGTACGACCGTAATTTTTTGGCAACTATTAATAAAGCAAGGACGAGCTGTTCAGCAAGCGTGTATCGTGTTTCTGCATCGAGGAGCACTTTACTTACATAGTAAACAGGTTATTGAACTCTTCCTCTTTCCTTTACCAAGACACCGCTAACTGCGTTCTGAGAAACGACCAAGTATAACAGCAGCGTGTCGTCGGGTTCGGGTTTAGTAAGGACTGGAGGCGTTGGTAATGTCTACTTGAGCTCCTGAAAAGCTAAGTTGCATTCCTCGTTCCAGTTGAACCTTTATTTTCCCTAAGTAGTTTGAAAAAGGGGAAATACCTGTCTGCTGCCCGGGAAACAAACATGTTCAGTGCTGCTACGTGACCTGTCAACTTCTGAATGTCCCTTTTGCACTTAGGGACCTCCATATTTATCAGAGCTTGGATTTTATTAGGATTCGCCTCTATTCCTCTATGTGTGATCATAAAACCCAAGAATTTTCCAGACGCCACCCCAAGCGCACACTTTGCCGGGTTGAGCTTCATGTTGTACCTCCGTAACATAGCAAACACTTCCTCTAGATCAGAAACATGGCTATTCAAATGTTTGCTCTTAACCACCATATCATCCACGTATGCTTCGACCGTTTTCCCAATTAGCTTGGCGAAGATCTTGTTCACTAACCTTTGATATGTTGCTCCAACATTCTTCAGTCCAAAGGGTATGACCCTGTAGCAGTAGATGGCTGAATCTACCATGAACGAGGTCTTCTCTTGATCTTCTTCTACCATGAGAAATTGGTGATACCCCAAGAAAACATCCAAGAAGCTGTACAGCATATGACCTGACGTGCTATCTACCATATTGTCAATTCGAGATAAGGGATAACTGTCTTTAGGGCATGCTTTATTCGGATCTGTAAAGTTAATGCAAACTCGCCACTTTCCATTAGCTTTCTTGACAAGAACCACGTTGGCAAGCCATTTGGGATATTGTACTTCCTGAACGAACTGTGTGTTAACAAGTTTGACAATCTCCTCTTTTATGACTTCTCATCTTTCTGGTGCAAACTGCCTCTTCCTTTGCTTTACAGGTCTTGCTTCCGGGTTTATGTTAAGTCTATATACTACAACCTCTAGATCAATTCCAGGCATGTCCTCAACATTCCAAGCGAATATATCCATGTTGCGGGAGAGACAACTTAGAAGTTCAGACATGACCGCTGTATCTAACCCTTGACCAATTTTGATTTTTCGAATGCTAGTCACATAACACTGTCGGGCCACCGTTTGGTTGCCTCAGACTACCCCGATTCCATTAGAAGTAGGAAATTTCATAGCCAGGTGGAAAGTTGAGACAATAGCTTGAATTCTATTGAGCAGTGGTCTTCCCAATATGGCGTTGTAAGCCATTGGCATACGGACAACTTCAAAGGTAGAGATTTGCGTCACCTGTTTACCTTCGGCCCCCAATGTTAAGGGTAACCCGACGATATCTTTCGGGGTGATGACCCCACCTCCAAATCCTTGAAGGTGTGTTTTGACTGGCTTGAGTTGCTCTGATGTGATCCCCATTTGAATAAAGGCCTCATAAGACAGTAAGTTTGCTGCACTTCTGTTATCTACCAAAATTATCTTGACTTCAAAGTTGGATGTGATGGCCGATATGACAAGGGCATCATCATGAGAGAACGCTATGCCTTCCAAGTCATCTGTTCCAAAAGTGATGTCCTCTGTATGGCCAAGATATGATATTGAGATGATTGGAGGCTGCCTGGCATATTGTTTACGCCCGCTGCTAGAATCTCCTTCTGAGGCTGTTCCTCCGACAATGATATTGATAGTGCCTGCGGTTGGTTGTTTGTTTCCCCGATCTTCTGGGCCTTTGCCTCCATTCTGATTATTCCTCGGGCGCTTGTGTAAGAGCTCAGAAATCCCCTTTTTATAGGAGCTTTGATTTCCCGCTTTAAGGCTAGACAGTCTTCCGTTGTATGCCTATGATCTCTATGGAAATCACAATATTTACTATTGTCACGAGTCTAGGGGGGAGACCGCAATCAGGGAGGCCACTTTGGTTCCTCAGAGTCCTTGATTTCCATCAGGATGTTGGACCTTGAAGTGTTCAAATGGGTAAAAGACGTTGAAGGAGGATCCTTCCTTGGTTTGACCCTAGGTGTCTCTTGTCTCAAGCTGGACTCATGCGGCCTTTTCTGATCCAACCTCCTTGATGAGGTAACTACCCTTTTTGGGGCCATGGTTTCTTCCATATTGATGTACTTCTCAGCCCGTGTGAGTAGCTTGGTGATTGACTTCGACGGGATCTTAGACAAGGACATCTTGAATGCTTCGCACTTAATGGCGTATGTCAGAGCTGAGATTGCAGCTGTGATATGTAGATCGGGGATCTGAAGCCGTTCTTTATTGAACTTGATCATGAAACTGCGCAGTGTTTCGTTGGGTCCTTGACGCATCTGCATGAGTGATGCGGTTGTCTTTTTGATTCGCTTGCTGCTTGCAAAGAAAGCAGAGAACTTATCGACCAAATCTGAGAAGGAGGTGATGAAGTTCGGTTCTAATGTGGAAAATCAATCTCTAACTGCGTTTGTGAGGATTTGGGGGAATGCCTTGCACATTACTGCATCAGGTGCAACTTGTAAGTTCATGATATCCGTGTACACATTGAGATGATTGATGGGGTCGGTTGTCCCATCGTACTCCTTTATCCGAGGATACTTGAACCTATCGGGAAGGGGATACGAGAGGACTTCTGGAGTGAATGGTGTATTGGGGATGAATCCTGTTGCTGCCCGAGTATTTTGTTGCATACCCATTGCTATCCCTTCTTGAATAATTCTAGCAAGTTCAACGGAGTCCATCGTAATGGACCTTGAATTTGACGCCACTTGTGGTACACCTGAAGCTCCAACCCCACTGTCATCATGGGCTGCATGATGAACTCGAGCCCGAGCATCTGCCATGAAGCCACCTTCAGGTGTTGGGGTATGCGAAAGGGTGTGAATTTATCTGGCTTAACAATTGGGTTAATGCAGCCACCTGCTGACGAAGTTCCTCAAAAGCTCCGACGGAAACAACAGCTTGAGGAGGTGTTGGCATCTCCGACCAGTCTTTTTGAGAGATATGGCGTTCCTCAGGAGGAGGAGGGTTATCCGAGACGGATGAGCTTGCTGAAGGAAGACCTGAACGTGTATTGACCATGGCTTTTGGTAGCGATCTCCCACAAACGGCGCCAATGATGCTACCAACAAAAATATTACCTGAAAGATCTCGAACTTGATGATCAAACTTCGCTTTGCTGAACACGAACAGTCTTTTGAATACCTGCAATAAAGGTAACGAGGTGTGTACTTGTCGGCCCTCCGATACTTAAGTTAGATAGGAAATTTAGCGCGTGAGGCTATATGTTGAAGATAATGAAAAACGTACCTCAAGAATGAGCACAAATTGTGTATTTATGGGTGTTAGCAGTGGAGTCCTAGAAGGACTACAAACCTCGACCTCAAATGCTCGACCTTGTTTTGGTGTTTTTAGGGGGTATTGAGATCGGGGTTTATGGTGTGATCGGGATTCATGGGTCGAGTTCGGAATTGACAAGATCTGAGATTATCAGTGAGCAATCTAAAGAAGAAATGTTATAGTAAAACTGCAAAAATTTGTGTTCCAAAAAATATTTCATATGTAGAGTTGTGTGATTACACCCAAGAAGTGCTTAATGTTGATTCTAGTTTATATGAAATGGAGTAGAAATTTCTCGTCCTTGACATGACAAAGTTGCCATTCCATCAATGAAGATTATTTTTGACGCTAAAGTGAGTATAATACTACGCATGACCATGTTACTCCGTGCAACTCTTGCAAACAAATATTTAGCTGGTGATCAACATGACTTAAAAACTACAATGAAAATTAAAAATGATAATTGTCAATACAACTTGATAGATGTTGCGAATAATGAAGATGATAAAGATCTATGCACTATGGAAACTGATGCACGTGGAGGCAATGAAAAAGACAAAGGTCAATGCAATATACAATTTGACGCACTGATGGCCATGATATACAATTATTCTCTTTTTAATCAAAATTGTCAAAATTGTGAAAACAACAATAATTGTGATAATTTTACAAGTGCTGATTATTGGGATTCGA